CTGGACATTATATAGCGAGACAGTCATCAAGGATGGATCCAGGGGGCTGTGACACTCCACTCTTGACCCAGGGAAGGGCCGATCCCCTAACCATAGCTGACATCACTGAAATGAAATGTTATTCAATCAAATCAAGTTTTTAGAGCGATGAAATGCGGTGAAAATGTGAGTGATTTCAATGCCCTTCTGAAACCAAAGTTCAATAAAAACCCTGGATCCACCCTGAGATAATGCATAAGTGAGAGATGTGAGAGCGCTTTCAACAATATTGCTGGCGCAAGCATGAAAACGAGGGAATGGTATTAGTGAGTTTTCGGGAAAACGCTCGAAAATGCGTCATTTATACTCACAAATAAAGAACAGTAAATAGAGCTATAAAATACACATGAAAGCATCATTTCCAAAAAAACGGAAATTTTTAATAAAATTCTTTTTGAATGGACACATTGTTGGTTTTCTTCCGTCGTATTTGTGGTAGTTTGAAGGCTAAGTGCTATAGATTACGTGGTTTTGGCCTGTAGTGATTAGGGAATTATAAAATAACTTTCATATTACGCGCGTTCTGATTGGCCAAAAAGCCKTGTTTRATGAGAGCATAATACACGCTCGCGTCATTTTTTTTCTCGGCTTTTTTTTCTCATGAATATTTTAGCGCTTGTTATTTTATAAAAGCAATAAAAAACAGTTTTCCGTGTATTATACTCTGATAAAAACACTTGGGATGTGGAGAGAACACTCGAGAAGCTGATTCGCGTCGTGGTTTCCTACGCTTCTCTCGTGTTCTCCCCACATCCCTCGTGTTTTTATCAGAGTATAATACACGGAAAACTGTTTTTTATTCCTTAAATATACCAAGAGAAAATGGTATTTGTAAGAATAATGGTGGCTCCTAAAGTACTTGAGGAAAATAATGGATGAAAATGAATAGAAATGACATTTATTGAGAAATATGAAATGTGATTTTCTGGGACGTTACCAAACTTTTGCGGGATTCCTGTGGAAATTTGCATGACAAAAATGTGCCAGGCGTTCCTCGAAAAAAGCACATTTTCGCTTATAAAATCGCAATAAAAACAGATATTTCAGATTTTACTTCGGATTCATGTTTAAAATCATCTAAGCTTTCCAACAATATAAATTTTGTTAAATAAAAAGCAGTTTAAAAAACACGTGAAATTTGGGACCACCCCTACAATTTCTTTGTTTTCAGCTATTTTCAAAATCTAACTTCATATTCTTGTAGCCATTGAAATAAGCTTTCCAACGATATGCATTTTGTTCAAAATAAAGCAGTTTGAAAATTTCGAAATTTTTGGTCCAACTCGAAAAATCGCAAAAAACGCTGTTTTTCGTCCTTTTTTCCACTAGGGTCATTTCTCCGAAACTAGACCGATTTAAATCATTCTTTTTGGCATATATAGAGAGCGATAGCTAGTGTTTATCGTGGTGGTTTTGTTTTTGTGATTGAAGTATTAGAAATAGGAGAAAAATGCTTGTAAACTGAGGTGAAAAGTCATCGTTTGAGCATCTCTCGAAATCCTATTAAAACGCAGCGAGACCAGCCAAAAACAAGCCAAATGGTATCTTCTGATGTAGAATAGAAGGAATCTAAAAAAATATTTGCACAAAAATCATTTTCAATAAAAATATAGGCTTTTATTTTTTCGATATTTTGTTGGCTGCGGGTTCCCTGTGGTAATTTGCATATTGAGAAAAATCATGAATGTTTTTTTGCATTTATGAAGATTTTTTCCATTTTTCAGTCCATTATATACTGCTTGATTCCAGTTCCTCAGCTTCTGATTATTCATTTTCATTTTATTATTCTTCCGTTCATTCTTCCTTTTATTCATATTTCATGCATTCAACTAAATTTTTAACAATCAGCATTTGTAAAATAGCATCAACTTACCTTATTTTCCAAGGGATTGTTCTATTTTGGGTGACTTGTTTATTCGATTATTTATTGTGATGTCTTATTTACGCCATTTGCATGATTCCCACATCAGAACACGTCTCATTTCAAAGTATTTTCTGAACTTTTTTGATTAATAATTTTTATTAAATGTGAGACGTAGTCTGAAGTTGGAATTTATTTTTCTTGCTTTTTTTATTATTTTTATTTTTTTCGCGACATCTTCTTCTAGGCGTTCCTTGCTTGCCCAGGCCTAACCGCGCATACAAGCACATGTCCGCCATTACCTCGTCAAATAGAGAAGACACAAGAAGAAATACGAGACATTACACTGTTTAAAAGGTATTTTATTGAAAAATGATACGCTAATTTTATAAATTATGCTATCATGTCTATTTCAGTGCAATATTTATACTTGTACATTTCATATTGATGTTGTTTGTCGATTTCTGACCTCGGAAACCCTCCAGGTTCTGTGCTGCATGCCGTCACTTATTGCACTTTGCTTATTGATATAGTAGCCTTGTTAATCACTATGTAATCATTGTCTATGATATAATGTTCTGATAATGTCTATATAGACTATTTCTTGAGCTTCTTGAGCTACAAGTGATAATATATCATAGTTAAGCTTATTATGTATAAAAAATATAAGATTATAATATTGATTGATTTATTGATGTGGGAATAACTCCACATCTGTTTTCATTTATTGCATTTGTGGTATTCATATCATTGCCATTGCATTTGTATAACATTTATAACTGTTTTCTTTTTTCTTCCTTCATTTTTGAAGACATGTTTGTATTATTTAATGGTGCAAAATTTACACTAAAACTTTTATCCATTGTGCGATATTTCTTTCTTTCTTTCCTCTTCATGTAGGTTTCCCAAGCACCTGTTATAAGTCCAGCCTGTGGTTTCTTCTTAATAGAACTCTGTTGGATTTAGATTTAAAATGTCTGTGATCTTACCTGTTGACATTCACTCCTTCCCAAGTAGAGTTTGAACAACATCTAAAAAAGATAACCAGGTTCATGATATTTGATCGCTTATTGCTGATATTATTATTTGCAGGTCATGTTTGCAATTGCCAGGGAACAAGCCAACCTGTTGGATTCAACACTGCTGATTTTTTCCCCAACAATAAAACAATCTATTCCCATCTCTTTCCTACCAAGACAAACAGATCTTGGAAACCTTCCTTTCCAGTCTGCCTTCTAAATTTCCCACTTTTTTCCATCCATCTCTTACTTTGAACATCCTTTCATATCAAGGTAAAGTTCAAGTATCTTTTTGCATTGATTTTCTGTGCATTTGATACATTGATGCGCATTGCAAGATTTAATTTTTTTCATTAATCTGGTATTTGAACTTTACCTAAGTCTTTAGTACCCTGCCACAGTCTTTCCCCTCTGATGAAGTTTGTCATTTGTGTTATGCGTTTTAACTTTGTTGATGTAAGCATAGGCAATGCATTTCTCTTTCACCTGATTTACCTCTTAATTTCTTAATTAATTTTGCATTTATTTGCCTATGCTTGACATTATGCTATCCTTATGTCTGATGTCATGTCTTATGCATGACTTAAATCACAATTTTCTATTTTATACTTACCTGCATTACATCCAGTTTTAACTGCATTAGAGTTGTTTTCGTAAACTCATGAAATACAATTAGCACTCTATTTTTTTCATATCTCTTTTTTCAATGATTTTCATATTGCTTTTCCTAATGAATGATGTATATACTACTATTACAACCTATTTCACTAATGGTTATTATCCTTGATGTGTTCTCACGGTTTTATGAAAGTTACTCTAATGTATTCATGGGGTATTGCTGTGTATCCTGGCTAGTGTTTTGCTTGCACCCAAGTGAAAACAAGACTGTTCTTTCACAAGTGTTTATCACCAGACTGTGAAGTAGAGAAGTGATTGGGTGGTGTATTATTGTCTGCATGTGTGAAACTGTTGAGAAAAACTGTCCAAGTTGCCAAATATTGAACATGCAACTATAATAGACTACCTGAAACATCTAACATATAGCTGGTGACGCAACAGCTCGGAAGCTATGCCTGGTTTTAAAACATTCACTCCAAATTTATGTGATGCTTATATTATTCAATAAGAAAATGGTCTCTCGAGGCAACTGTGGCTATATAAGCTTCACTATTTCACAGTCTGGCTAAAACATTTTAATGGTTAGAGGCCCAAGTGCATCTGAGAGCCTCGTCCATTGTAATATGCAACATTCTCAGATACCCATGGACCTTTGAGTATAATCACATTTGGATCATGTATAAACTTGACTAGAAATCTCTGGATGACAAGTCTTGATTTATCAATTTACTTGACGTTTCAACCATTGCTTGCGACATTTCATACTCTTGAAAATAAAATGAACATCAAGTAAACTGATAAATTAAGACCTGTCAATCAAAACTTCATAGTCAAGTACTAATATCGTAAGTAGTTTGTCAGAGTGATCAGTCACAAACAGTCGAGGGGAGTATCCTTGTTTCTTCACTTAAAGTGGGACAGGGAACCAAACACTATTAATAAATACAAAGGAAATTACATGGAGACTTCCCCTTGATTGTTTTGTCCCTGATTACTCGTATAAACAAAGTCTGGTTCACATAAAGACATCAGCATAAGAATTTTCACTTTGCTTTTTTTATATTATGCTAATTTCTTTTGTGTTTGACTTCTGATTGTCTTTCTGTGAACCAGACTTAACATTGTTGACATTGTACATCACCAAGGGGACTGGGCATTGTGTATCTTATTCCCTTGGGAATTAAAATATGACAAAATAAAATACTATGGATTACGTCTGTGTGTCAAGATGTTTATTGTCTTATGCAAAATATATATTCTACATACTATTTATTAGCTATCTATATAGGTATCTACTAGGTATCCAGCATACTACCTACTGGGGTATTTTAGACAGCCCACCCCCCTCTGTCCTCTCCCCCCTATAATCCCCCCTCCCCTATCTCCCCCCTCATCCGCCGAGCTCCCANTACTATTGCATTAATTTGCATCCAGAAATAAATAAAATTTTAATTTTTGAAATTTATCTTAGTTATCAGAAAGAAAGAAATCTATAACTGAGATTTGAACTCCTAACCTTCAGATTCATAGCCCAACCACTAACCCACTAAGCCATCTAGTCGAAGTTGCTGGTCAGGCTTCGAAATTTAACTTTATAGCAGGTCGCAATTCATGCAAATTCAAACAATGACTTTTGATGTTGAGCGGTTTGAACCAGCGATTCACTAGATGGCTTGGTGGTCAAGACAGCAGACTACTGGATACGAAGGTAAGGGTTCAAATCTCACTGTAACCAATATTTCTTTCCTTTCACAGGTTAATGTATGTACTGACTTTAATTTCACAGGGTTCTAAAGCTGGCGCGCAATATAAAACTGTAAACAACTAAATGATAAACAAATAAACTAAACTCAATAAACAAAAACGGTAAACTATGAACTAATCTCCATAATAATAACACAACACTGCCATTCTTTAAAGTGCCGATCATTGAACACTAAAACTTTCAAAAAATAAATAGACAAACATTAATCCTGAACACATTCTTAAATCAATGTAAAGTGAAGTACTAAATGTTTCGATCCAGTTTAACTTAAAAGTTTTTTGGACAAGTTTTGCAGATAATTTTTTACATTATTTTTTGCATCTCAACAAACTACTTCTTAGAAGAAAAATTAGTCTTATAGTTTGCGCACCAGCTCTTTCAATATACTGTCTTTTCATGGGACAATAGACCAACTGGCAATAACGCTATGTAAGCGCAAGTCCACATAATTACTGTTATACCCAAAATTTGCACCAGAAGTGATCGAAACATCATTCTAATATAGACAATTCCATTCAATCCAAAAATCAAAAAGATACAGTCTGCTTTTGCAAACTATTCGCAATAATAATTGACATCTTTCCAAATTTCAGGTATAAACAGCTGTTTCCTGCCACCAGAGGCTTCCACAGTTGATCCTGATAAAAATTTTAATTAAAATATCCAATTGTACTTTTAAACTATGATTATTGCACCAAGAGAGTTCAAAACAACATCGTAAGGCCAATAAATTTATTATTAATTCACACATTCTCTGCCGAATCGACTGTGAAAGCCCTGCTGGATTCCCTTTGATGTCATTAAACCATCACACCCCCAGTTTCCCTTGTTTATTAAGAGGTTGAGTCCATTCTGTTAATGAAAGGCCCTGTTGTGGTCATCCATTGGATCATTAGCATTGCAAGGATCTTCTGTACTAGGCCAGGGTGGCAAATTGTCTTCTCACATTTAAAGACACAGAGTGAGATTAAAGTTTTCACACTTAAATCCAAGACCAGAACCTTTTGTCACCCTTTCCTGAAGCCTACGCCCAGGGTACATTATCCAGCTCTTTAGGGAAGGGACATATGAAAATGGGGGCGACAGCTGTGTAGGTTACCCCTCCCTGTGTTTGCTCTCATACATAGACATTTCTTCACATTGAAAAAAGAGTGGAAACATTCAGCCTGTGAAATAATGGTCAAGGGTAATAGTTTGATAAACAGAAATAACAACATGAAAGAATATAATCAATAACTTAGCGGTGTTATATCTTCTTACTTTACGTGTGCGAAAGTAATGTCTGTTTCACTCTTTCACAGGCTTGAATGTCCACATTCTGTACAATCATGTTAACTATCATATTACTCACTCTACTCAGACACTGACAATTACCAAGAAAAGTACATGTAGTATAAAAAACAAGACAGTTTTTTTAATATCTTAAACCATGATCAAATAAAGCTTTCTTCTTAGGAGCAGTATTTTTTCTAATTCTGTTTCAGCTGCTGAAAGAAAAAGGAACATTGTCTTGGCAAACACAACCCTTTAACATGATGCACTACACCTTTTAACTGTGAATCACAATCCTTTTTGCCATAGTTTCGTAGTAGTATATCGTATTTTTTAAAGTTTTATAATCCTTTTTGCAAAATTTTACAAGTTTGTTTCTATCACCCTGGATGATTTGACCATTTTGTTTTGTTTCTGACAGGTTGGATCAAGTTGAGTTGCCAGTGGTGACTTTTTTTCTTGTTTCATTGGAGGCTCAGCAAGCTTAATATAAAACTATTATCTTTAATATAACTCTCAATGAAATAGCCTGAAATACTAGCCAAAATAATCTCACATAACACAAAATGATGACAAGGTGTGCAATGCATCCAGGGTGACATAGACATTGTTCTTTTAAAAAGAATCTACAATTTAGTAGTCAAATCGCAATCAAGGAAAAGTCTAAAAAGAGTGGTATTTCTACCTAATGATGATTATCACTATAAGGGACATAGCAAGGGGGCAAGGGTGTGTCAGGCCTCAGGAATCTGAACCTGGTTATTTAAAATGCATATAAAAAATAAATTAAACAATTTTTAGCGTTCACTCTGCATTATGCAGATGGATCAGTGTCATAAATTGCTAGTTAGACCCTCACATAGGATTTCCTAATGCTGATCATAATCTTATTCTTAAGTGCTTACCGAGGTGTTTTGGTCCATCTTGGGCTTCTGCAACAC